CACAGGTACAAGATGCACCTGTATGGCCTGCACGGCGGGCAGCGCCACGGCCCCATGTCCACCGTGGGCATCACTGGTGAGTGCAGTCGGGCCTTCAAAACTGTTTTGGGTAAGGTCTCATTGGTGGAGCCTTTAGGGTCTCCATGGTTCAGTGCGGTTCAGCTGCATTGAACCCACCTTTCGTCCAGTAGCATACAGGACAGGCATGCAGTGGGTCAGGAAGTCCGAGTGCCAGGAGTGTGCCAGAGAAGTCCTTGGCTGGAAGCCTTGAGGCAGTGATACAGTGACCCATATGTGGCTTTCAGCTTTGCCGGAAACTCTGGAAATGTCTTTTTTCTGTAGTTGGGGCAAATGCCATGAACTATTCAACCATTCAACAAATATTTATTATATAAGATTCAAGCTTACACACAAAGAGGAAGAATAGCGTCGTGAACTCCCGTAGGTCCGTTGCTCTGCTGCATCCTGATATTAACTCCTTGCTGGTCTGACTCATCCCCACCTGCTCACTTCCTGCCCCCCTCGCACTGGAATGTGTTCTTAACTAACAGCTTACTGAGAGTAATTTACATACCATAAAATTCATCCACTTTAAATATGCAACCATCAGCACTAACTAATTTTAGAACTTTCTCTGTAGAGCTCTAACACTATCTAATTTTAGGACTGTATTTGTAGATTTGCCTTTCCTAGACATATCGGATAGATGGTATTGTACAATAACGTGTTCTTCTGTGTCTGGGTTCTTTCATCAAGCTCATTTTGGGGGTTCATCCATGATGTAATATGTAGCAGAACTTCATCCCTTTACAGTCAAATAGTATTTTGCTGTATGGATATACTGTTGCAAAGATCCCAGATGCTCAAGATTTCATCCTATACTTCATGATTTTATATTTAAGTGTATTGCTCTTTTTTAAAGGACTGTTTAAGGGATGCCTGGGTTGTGCAGTTCGTGAAGCTTCTGTACCTGGAGTGGGGCTGGATCTCATGACCCTGAGATCATGACCTGAGCTGAAATCCAGGAACAGAAGCCCAACCAACCGCAGAGCCCTGCGCTGGGTGTGGAACCTGCCTAAGATTTCTTCTCTGCTCCTCCCCAACTCATGCATGCACTCTCTCTCTCCCGAAAAAAATTTGAAAAAGTATTTTAAAATAGTTGCAACACCATTATTATACCTTTAAAATTGAACGTTAATATCAAACATTAAGTATGTAGGTAGTATTAGTTTCCTGGTTGTCTCATAAGTGTTGTTTTCCAATTTGTTGCTGGTATTGAGTCCAAAAAAAGGGGAAAACACTGCAATTGGGAGAATTGGAATTTTAGATAGGGTGGTCACAATTGGCCCTGAAGAGGTGACATTTGAACAAAGACTTAAAGAAAGTGTGTACATGAGCCATGCAGACATCCAGGGTCAGAACATTCACACAAAGGGGACAGTCTGTGCAAAGGCCCTGAGGTAGGAGGCTGCCTGGTAAGTTTGACAGACCATGAAGAGATCACAAAAAGACTTCAATGATAAGCAGAAATGGATCTTAAGTTAGGCCTACAGAGCTGGCCCACCTACTGGTCTGAATCCAGGAGAGCCAGGACCTCAAGTACTTTTTCCAACAATAGGAAATATTCTGTTTGCATCTATTCCCAGACCCCGAAGGGGAGCCCTCTACCAGCACCCTTCAGAAGCCACACTTGGGAGAGCTAACCGTGACAGATGCCACCCCTGACTCCCTGCGCCTCTCCTGGACCATCCCCGAGGGCCAATTTGACCACTTCCTTGTCCAGTACAAGAACGGGGATGGGCAGCCCAAGGCGGTGAGAGTGCCAGGGAATGAGGACCAGGTCACTGTGTCAGGCCTGCAGCCAGACCACAAGTACAAGATGAACCTGTACGGCTTCCACAGGGGCCAGCGTGTGGGCCCGGTTTCTGCTGTCGGTTTAACTGGTGAGTACACAGCAGGACACTGGGCCCTGGACACTGGACTCAGTTGCTCCTTCATGTCAGTATTCAGGTGTTTTTGTCCCACTGTCCCTGAGACTAGAACCTCCCAACTTCCCAAGGATGGTTCTGTTTGTGTCTTTACTCCAAGACTTTGGTGATGCCCCAGCCATCTTATCCTTCACACACAAGCTTTTTATTTTTTGTTTTGTTTTTGTTTTTAAATTAATCTCTATCACCAACATGGGGCTGGAACTCACAACCCTGAGATCAAGAGCCACGTGTTCTACTGACTGAGCCAGTCAGATGCCCCCACACACAGACTTTTTGGTCCTTGAAGAGGCAGGGTACCAGGGAAATAACAGACTCAAAGAGACGTGGGGTTGACCCTAGCCTCGGCCCGTTCAAGCTGTGTGACCGCAAGAAGGTCGCTCCTACCTCTCTGTGCCTCCCTTTCTTCATCTGCAAAGAAGAGGAAGAAAATTAGTTTCTGAGAACTCTTAGGATGCATTCTCATAATTGTTGATTTCAGTGGGTACAATGGTCTGTGTTTCCCAACCCAGACTGATCTCCATTTATGCCAAATGAGCAGGAATCCTGCCACCATGGATGCTCTTACTCTGATGGTTAGTATTAGTCGTATGCAATTCCGCAAGGCACCACCCCTTCCTTCATTACTTGCTAACGGGGCCGTCAGTTGCTTCTGTTAAGTTCTCTCGGAGCTATTACCCTTTGATGCTTAAGACCCGATTTCCAAACAGAACAGATAGGAAACAAGACAATTGTGTAATCGGTGATTAAGGAAGAATGAAATCCTATGCAGAACAGAAAAGCCGAGAGAAACCTGGGGGTGTGATGAGTCATCTGCACCATAAATTACCAAGAGAGTAAATACAGGGTCCAAAACCACCCAGGTACAAAGACAACCTCCTGCCTCTTCTCTTTGGCCTCCACTGTGAAATCTAAATTTGCCTCTATAAAGTACTCAGAAGGCTTCTAAACCAGAAGAGGCATTAAAAGTACTCACGAAGTAGAATTTCCAAACCTGAGTAGCTGTAACTCCTGATGGGACCCGTCAGGTGTGCTTGGCAGTGTTAGGAAGCCTCGGTCCTGTCCCTCCGTGCAGATTTGCTCTGCTGCTCCCAAGGGCTCAGCGCCCGCTACACACGTACAGCACCATAGCAGTCCCAACCTCCCATCATGATGTCCCCAGGAGCATGCTCTGTCCCTTGGTAACTGAACATTCAAACCAGGGATTGAGGTTTGGGTCTGTGGGGCCTGGCATCTAGGCTGCAGGACCTTGATGTTTCTTGATGTGTCTGGGAGAAACCTAAGTATCCTTCACCGGAAGCGGGCCCACAGGGCATGTCCACACATTCTCTTCGTCTCCTGCTCCAGCCCCAGGAAAGGACCACGAAATGCCAGCCTCCACAGACCTACCCACCGTGGCCCCCGAGCCTCCCACCAAGCCCCGCCTGGGGGAGCTGGCTGTGA